TCGGGATGAGTGCATTCAGTACCTAACAGGAGGAAGAGAATTATTTACGGGCCGTGACATATTTTGCTAACAGAAAAACAAGGCTGAGTCCATCGGTTGACAAGGTTTTTTCATTCAATCTTCATTTAAGCAAAAGCTGAGTATGTGTAGGAGACGACTCTCAGCTACTACCACACCAAGTCCGTTTTTCAGTGATATGTAAAGTTTTCAAAAGTGAGCCGCTTCTTGTTTGCTGTGCTGATGGACCGACTAACAGATGAGGTCAGGCAGGAACCCCCGTGGACTATGATGTTTGCAGATGATGTGATCTGTGTTGAGAACAGGGAACAGGTGGAAGAGAACTTGGAGAGGTGGAGGTATGCACTTGAAAGAAAAGGAATGAAAGTCAGCCGTAGTAAGACAGAGTACATGTGTGAGTGAGAGGGAGGAGGTGGAACAGTGAGGCCACAAGGAGCAGAGGTCACAAAGGTGCAGGACTTCAAGGACTTGGGGTCCACTGTCCCAGCTGTGTTGTCTGGTCTGGAGACAGAGACATGGACAAAAAGACAGGAGACAGAACTGGAAGTGGCAGAAATGAAGATTTTGAGGTTCTCCTTAAGAGAAACAAGGATGGAGAAGATTAGGAATGAGATCATCAGAGGTACAGCACAGGTTGAAGAACTGGGAGATACTACTGGGTATACTGGTAGAAGGATACAAAGTTTGTTTTCTCAGTCATCCAGGTATATAACAACACCCTAAGGGTGGCTTCTGGGTAATACCAGATGGCTAGGCCTCAGACTGACGAAGCCTCTTGGATGAGGGGCGAAACGTTTCTTTTTAACAAAAAAAACGAAGTCCAGATGACATGATTCAACCTTTTTTGCTGGTAGAAGGATGTTAGAAATGCAGCTGCCAGGACAAAGACAAAGAGGAGACATATGAATGCAGTTAGAGAGGACGTGGAGGTAGTTGGAGTGAGGACAGAGATGGAGGAGGAGGACTCGCTGTGCAGATCACTGAAGAGGGAAAAGCCAAAAGAAGAAGATTCTTTTGAGTCGTTGTCTCCAAGGTTGTTTTCACACCTGATAGTCCGGTAGATTCGGTTCGGGACCAATATTCATGACATTTTGTTACATCTGAGCTGGTGCGTTTGCATTCACACTGCACTGTGCAGTCGAGCCAACCTGTTCCCCCGCTCGCCTGTGGGGGCGCTGCACCAAGAACTACTGAAAGAAACAACACAAAAACCTCTGAAGAAGACACTTCTTCTTCTTCTGGA